CATGCACATTGTTACATTGTTACATATACAAGTATGAAAAGCTCTGCTGGAAGTGTGCCCAGGCAGCTCCCGTTCTACGGGGTTCAGATCTAACAAGGCCGTGCTGATATCATTGGCTGAAACAATTGTCCATCTGCAAATTTCAAAATAAGGAAGCACCAATACGGGTTTTTCGGTATCGAGTATGAGTGTCGATATTTTGCTTTCGGTACTCGCCGATACAGAGTACTGATACCGGTGATTCCGATGGCATGGAACTGGCTTCTCGGGCAATCAAGAAGCCGGGCGGCGGGTAATGACATGCTGCCTGGCTCCCTGATTGCTAGGGAAGCCAGCTCAATGTTGTTTGGCCAGCTCAATTGTGATTGGCCGGGAAAACGCCTTTCTAGCCAATCAGCATCGTGCCGGTCTCAAAGCCAATCAGAAAGCTGGGCAGCAAGTAATGACCTGCCTTCTGGCTTCCTTATTGGCTGCTTACTCCATGCTGAATGGCTGGAAAGCCGACTTCCCAGCCAATCAGCATCAAACAGGCTTTTCGGTCGGCTCGATGCTGACTGGTTGGGAAGCCGGCTTCCCGGCCAATCAGCAAGGAGCCTGGCTCCATGTATCCCTACAGCACTGCTGGTCAGTAGACATGTGCACCAGCAACAAATTTGTTTAATTTAGTTTCGTTTTGATCCGGATTTTGTGTTATTTCGTTTTTTGGGATTCGGACGAAATTCATTAGCGGTAGTTTGTACGAATATTTGTTTCGCTTTCTTTGGTTCGTTGCAGCAAAGTGACATTTGAGAGGGATTTTTTTTTTTTCCCAACAAACAAAATTTCGTACAGAATATGTCGGAATCGTTTGCATTTCGTATATATCTGTAATTCGGAATTCGGATACATCAGAATCTCCGAATTTTCGATTTGGAACGAAACAAATTGCACATGTCTACTAGTCAGAGGAAAGCTTCCTCTGACCGGAAGTTCCGGTATCAGAGCATTGCTACTGATACTGGTACCGTGTTTTCCCGAAAATATATATATTTTTTTGACTCTCTCTGTTTGCCTGAGGACGGGACCGCATGGTCTCGAAACGTCGCTAAGGAGATGTGTGTTATCTCAGTCAATAAACAGCATTGACTTTAATATCATGGAGTGCGAGTGACTACTTTCATCTATCTACATTTTACAGAGGCATCCGTTGTCACTACCGCACCCACCGAGTTGGATTTGGGTTTTTGTCCGGTCAGGAGTGCGATGGGACAGGAGGATTAAGCTATAGAGGAGGCATCGGCTTATGCGGCTCTGCTCCCTCCGCTGCCGCCTCGCTTCCTCTAGCGCTGGCTTCGTTTGGCACCGCTGATTCTCCCCCGCCTCTCCCGTGGCTCTTCAAGTTCCCCCTTATGCCACCATCGGCCCTGGGAATGATCACAACTAGGTCTTATTTTCTGGGTAGGTCTTATATTTTAGCAATTTCCAAAAATAGTACTAGGTCTTATTTTCGGGGTAGGTCTTATTTTCGGGGGAAACAGGGTATCAGTATCTGTGCAGCCCTACTTCCTAATGTGCAAAAATGTATCCGATCGAATTTGGAACCATTCCGCCAAGAAGGGAGCAGTGTTGTACGGTCTATATTGGTCATCAGCTCAGGTGAGCACCCACCTGCCCACCATTTTATCACGTGTGGATTGGAGCATTTGTTTGATGTGCGGTATGCAAAAGTTTGGATAGAAGATCGCTATTACCACTGCTATCACTTTCACCATTCCATTTGTCTTTTATGGATCTAAATTTCTGTAATCACTTTAGAATTTTCACTCCTATGGGACTTTAGCACATTGTTGTTTATGTTTTGATGCATATTTAATTTAAGCTCGGCACATTATATTATTGTAATTTGCATATCAATCACCGACACAGTATAAAGATCTGGTTACGTAACCAATATAGCAAGCACATCTATCATTCTGATATCAAACACTGGGCCCCTCACCTGTCAGTCGGAGCACCTGCAGGCTGATGAGAGGCCTAAGAGCGCCGCGGTTTATCGAACGCAGGTTGTTCTTGCTGAGGTCGAGTAGAGCAAGAGAGGACAGCCCGGAGAACGCCTGGTCCTGGAGACTCTCAATTTTGTTTTCCTGTAAATGGAGCTCCTGCAGCCTCTGCAAGGGTCAAACAAAGGCGACAATAAGAATATACACAGGCCAAAAATATACAAAAATGTTTTTCCAGCCAGTAATACACTCTAACATACTGTGTGCGTTGGGTTCTGGGGTTCTCGGAGAGCTTTGGAAGCGAAACATTTGTACACAGGTACCTTTAGATGCCTACTTTAGGTTCTTGAGTCACTTGAGCACCTCTGTCTAGGGGCTTTAACCCCTGCAGGGTTTGGGACTAGAGTGTGGCCAAACAGTCAAATCAGGGTGAACAGGATATTGCAAATGGCAACAAAAACAGTTGCCCAAGTGTTAGTGAAGATGAAACCTTCTGGGTGTAGACAGTTCCAAGATCAAACCTTCTAGGTGGAGACATTTCCAAGATCAAACCTTCTAGGTGCAGACATTTCCAAGACCAAACCTTCTCAGTGGAGACATTTCCAAGACCAAACCCTCTAGGTGAAGACATTTCCAAGACCAAACCTTCTCGGTAGAGACATTTCCAAGACCAAACCTTCTCGGTAGAGACATTTCCAAGATCAAACATTCTCGGTGGAGAGATTTCCAAGACCAAACCTTCTAGGTGCAGACATTTCCAAGAACGACCCTTCTCGGTGGAGACATTTCCAAGATCAAGCCTTCTAGGTGGAGACATTTCCAAGATCAAACCTTCTAGGGGGAGACATTTCCAAGATCAAACCTTCTAGGTGGAGACATTTCCAAGACCAAACCTTCTCGGTAGAGACATTTCCAAGACCAAACCTTCTCGGTGGAGACATTTCCAAGGCCAAACCTTCTAGGTGCAGACATTTCCAAGATCAAACCTTCTCGGTGGAGACATTTCCAAGGCCAAACCTTCTAGGTGCAGACATTTCCAAGATCAAACCTTCTCGGTGGAGACATTTCCAAGGCCAAACCTTCTAGGTGCAGACATTTCCAAGACCAAACCTTCTCGGTGGAGACATTTCCAAGGCCAAACCTTCTAGGTGCAGACATTTCCAAGATCAAACCTTCTCGGTGGAGACATTTCCAAGATCAAGCCTTCTAGGGGGAGACATTTCCAAGATCAAACCTTCTAGGTGGAGACATTTCCAAGATCAAACCTTCTCGTTGTAGACATTTCCAAGATCAAACCCTCTCGGTGTAAACATTTCCAAGATCAAACCTTTTTCGTGTGATCTTGGAAATGGTTTGATCTTGGTGTAGACAGAACCAAAGGATGAGATAGGACTGTAAGGTAGTTGTGGGTGGTGCCAGAGGTCACTAGTGGTACACTCAGAAACCATGCACCAACACAAAGAACAGAGGTGGGCCTGAAGGCCACAGCAAGGTTAGAGCAGGTAAGGTCAGCAATTAGGACAATCTGAGAATGTTAAGATGTACAATGGCCAACCAAACCAATCAGAACATTCTAAAAATATACACATTAGCTGCATGAGCAAAGACTAACTGACATGCTGAAAAAAACATCGGACTCCTTCAGGATAAGGCACTAATAGGTGACATCACTGTGATTATTGAACATTTGCTAATACTTGTTGTTTCAGTATATAATAGGTTGGTATGTAATAAGCACTGATACATTTCTAACAGCATAATCACAACAGATGAAACCTTATAAAAAAAGTGATTGCCCACCATGGTTTACCTGCAGGTTGGAGAAGGTGTAGGACACGAGACGGGTGATCTGGTTCCCTGCCAGGTAGAGGACCCTCAGGTGCTCCAGGCCTTTGAAGATGCTGCTGTTGAGTAGATGGATCCGGTTTCCATTGAGCGCCAGTTCCACCAGGTGCTGCTGGGACCTGAAGGCACCGGCCTCCAGGGTGGAGATGCTGTTGTTCTGGATATAGAGGTATTGGAGACCCAGGAGAGGAGATAAATCCTGCTGCTGGATCTGAGATATGGCGTTATCCTGTAAAAACACAGTCTGTGGAGAGGAGAAAAAACTCATCAGTTCATTGACATTCCTCAGATCTTCTCTACTACGTACCTGGGTCAAGGTCTATGGGCGCTTCATATAGGCCTTACAAAAAACACCCTCCTAACAAAGCCATATGATCACCATATGAGTTCTCTAAGGGAATCCTGCACACATTATGAGCCGTCCATTCAGCACACAGCTCCATAAAAACCCAACGGTAACACTAATCTGTTTTGGACAGGGCGGCTATGATTAAGGCCCTTCTGGCTGAAAGGCATTACCCTTACTGTTCTGTTTTCATGGAGGATTTCCTTGGAGAATCACTTTGCAAGGGGTAGACAGGTGCCCTATCCTTGCACCGGATTTTCCCCGACAGCCTTAATGAGACTGATCATTAAGATTGATCATTATGATCGATCACTTACATAGTTACATAGTATTTGAGGTTGAATAAAGACATAAGTCCATCAAGTCCAACCTATTGTGTGTGTGCATTTATGTTTGAGCTGGTGGCACTGGAGGTTACATAGTATTTGATCAATGGCTTTGTTGCTAAACAAAGGCAACCCTAACGCTACCACCTTGTTGATAAACAAAGCTATGTGATCTCCTCACCAGCGCTGAGCTGGCAATAAATGGCTTTACTTATCTCAAAGTCAGGTGGTTGTTGGGTTTGAGGGAAGACTTTCAAGTTCGCTCATCTCTAATAGTTGCCCATCTGGGGCGTGAGTGGGTTTACCATGATTTTGGAGGGAAAATGGGGCTAAACTGGAGGATGCTTGCAGCTATAAGAGGAAATTAGGAGATATATATATATATATACAATATGTAGCTTAAAACTAGGGCGGCACCGATACTAGTATCGGTATTGGTGCCGATACCTAGTATTTGGGCGAGTACTCGTACTCGCCCAAATGTTCCGATACCTAGCCTGACACTGGAACTTCCGAACAGAGGGAGATTTCCTCTGACCAGCAGTGGCGCGAGGGAACATGGAGCCGGGAAGCTGGCTCCATGCTGTTTGGCCAGCTCGATGCTGATTGGCCTCGAAGCCAGCTTCCCAGCCAATCAGTGTCGAGCTGGGCAAACAAATCTGACATTATGGTGACACGACCCTCACCCTGCAGACACCTCATTCCCCTCACATAGATACTCAGCAGCAGTCATTACTGTACCAGTCCCTCGGCCAGCTGGGCAGACACCGCTAACTGGGATCTGCCCACGTCTCCTGCTGAGTATCTATGTGAGGGGAATTAGGTGCCTGCAGGGTGAGGGTCGTGTCACCATATTGTCACATCTGTTTGGCCGGCCTCGATGCCGATTGGCTGGGAAGCTGGCTTCCCGGCCAATCAGCATCGAGCCGGCCAAACAGAATGGAGTCAGTTTCCCGGGCAATCAAGAAGCAGGGCGGTGGGTAATGACACACCGCCTGGCTCTCTGATTGCCCGGGAAGCCGGTTCTATGCCACTGTAAGTACCGGTATAGGTACTCGTTATCGGCGAGTACCGAAATATAAATATCGGTACTCCTACTCAATACGGAAAAACCGGCATCGGTGCATTCCTACTTAAAACTGGGATTTGGACTTTTACCTGTTCGAAACGCGTTAGAGTTTTCACCTCTGCTACAACAAATGTGTCTTTTATGGCTTTTCATCATTATTGATAGTTGGTAAAAAACCCCCACCCCTCCGCCCCTCCTCCCCTGAGTTCCCGAAGCAGCTGGAGGTGCATATCCGGGGAGACATATTGAACAGGTGGTATGTCTGTCCTTGGGAACTCATCTAGAGCACATTATTCATGCATGAAATGTTTGACTTTCCTGCATTACTAATGTGTAATGTTTACCTCCACCTCAATCCTTATTACCGGGGCTACATGTGCTATACATCCTGCACCCAGAGATCCGGCACTACGTGAAGTCACCGATGATCTGCTGTCACCAAAGGACGAAGGCTGGAAGGTCAATGCCGGCTGCAAGCTGCAAGGCAGGAAATATCACTATGGCCTTCATTCGTCAAGCTGAAATGGCACTTAAAGGAGAACTATGAGGTCAGGGCTTTTCCCCATAGTTCTCCTAAGGGTAACGGGAGGACACAAACTAGCGTCCTCCCTTCACCCTAAGCTCAGTATATAGCAAGCTACAGCTCGCGGTATACTGAGACCACCGCAGCCGGGACGGATTCCGACATTACTGTCTGGATCCACCCAGCTGCATGATTGATAGCTGGCTCTGCCTATCTAGAGGCAGAGCCAGCTGTACCCGCCCCCTCCCCCGTCCGTTCCTCCAGTCAGCGCTGGAGGAGCGGGGAGGGGGGAACCCCTGCAGGGAGCCGTGAGTGACAGTCACAACCCTCTGCAGGGACATGATCGAGAAGTGAGCGAGCAACGGTATGTGTTCGCTCACCTCCCGATCTACTGAGCCGACCTGTGACAGTCTCATTGTCACAGGTCGGCTGGAACTATGAGGATGACTAGAAACCTCTCACCTCATAGTTCTCCTTCAAAGAGTGCTCAGTAGCCCTAATGGCACGCTAAAATGACTTCTGATAATAATGACCGAGAAGCCATCTCTGAGCCAGCATATCCAGGGAGTAGATGGTGACCCTGGATGATGCCTGAACAAAGATGGTGCCGTCCTTCTGAAGAGAAAAGCAGATGGAGGCATTGTCAGGGGGGAGTCCTGTGACCTCTATGAGAGGTATAAATACCTCGAAGTGTCACACGGACACATTACTGAGGTGCTGCGCCCAAACATGAAACATGTGACTGATAACGTGTGCTTTGTTTGATGTGTGAATAGCAGGTGAATCATATGATTCTTTAGGTTAACATTTCTGATTTGTTGGAATAGGTATGGACAGGTTTGCACCACCTGCTGAGATTCCCAAAGTTCCTGAAGTCTTACTGGTTGGAATCATGGATTAAGGGCCCATTCACACCAGCCTGGTGCATTAAACATGTGCGGTGCTATGGCAGCCCCTTCCTTTCAATGGGCTGACCAATGCACCACAATGGGCCGTAAACAGGGCACACCGGGGATGTGCGGGCAGGGGAGGCGGAGCCTCATCAATAGTGTTGCCACCTTTTCTTCAAGCGAAACCCGAACACTCTTGCGACTCGCAGAATGAGTTGTGGCTTATTCATATGTAAATATCACAGTTGAGACTATTTTCAGTGGGGGGCCAGTAGGCCCTATCTTAATTTTGGTTGCCCCTGTCTGCCTGACATCATGTGTTCCTGGTGCCATGAAACCCGGACACAGCATTCAAAACCCGAACTGTCCGGGTGAATCCTGGACAGGTGGCAACCCTACTCACCAAGTATTATGGAGGAAAAAGCTGTCAGCTTCAAGTCTGAAGCTGACAGCTTTTTCTCCATTCAGAGCGGCTTGTGAGTAGTGATGGGCTTGGGCGTGTTCACAGCTCCACACGCCGAGCCCGCCAGGAAGCTGACAGTGCAAATCACAAGTACTGAGACATTATCCCGGTCCGCAGCTGCAGAGATCGGGATATGTCTCAGTGCCAGTGATTGGCGCTGTCAGCTTCCTGGCAGGCTCGGCATCCTTCTAGGGGGAGACATTTCCAAGATCAAACCTTCTAGGGGGAGACATTTCCAAGATCAAACCTTCTAGGGGGAGACATTTCCAAGATCAAACCTTCTAGGGGGAGACATTTCCGAGATCAAACCTTCTAGGGGGAGACATTTCCAAGATCAAACCTTCTAGGGGGAGACATTTCCAAGATCAAACCTTCTAGCGGGAGACATTTCCAAGATCAAACCTTCTAGGTGGAGACATTTCCAAGACCAAACCTTCTCGGTGGAGACATTTCCAAGATCAAACCTTCTAGGGGGAGACATTTCCAAGATCAAACCTTCTAGGGGGAGACATTTCCAAGATCAAACCTTCTAGGGGGAGACATTTCCAAGATCAAACCTTCTAGGTGGAGACATTTCCAAGATCAAACCTTCTCGTTGTAGACATTTCCAAGATCAAACCCTCTCGGTGTAAACATTTCCAAGATCAAACCTTTTTCGTGTGATCTTGGAAATGGTTTGATCTTGGTGTAGACAGAACCAAAGGATGAGATAGGACTGTAAGGTAGTTGTGGGTGGTGCCAGAGGTCACTAGTGGTACACTCAGAAACCATGCACCAACACAAAGAACAGAGGTGGGCCTGAAGGCCACAGCAAGGTTAGAGCAGGTAAGGTCAGCAATTAGGACAATCTGAGAATGTTAAGATGTACAATGGCCAACCAAACCAATCAGAACATTCTAAAAATATACACATTAGCTGCATGAGCAAAGACTAACTGACATGCTGAAAAAAACATCGGACTCCTTCAGGATAAGGCACTAATAGGTGACATCACTGTGATTATTGAACATTTGCTAATACTTGTTGTTTCAGTATATAATAGGTTGGTATGTAATAAGCACTGATACATTTCTAACAGCATAATCACAACAGATGAAACCTTATAAAAAAAGTGATTGCCCACCATGGTTTACCTGCAGGTTGGAGAAGGTGTAGGACACGAGACGGGTGATCTGGTTCCCTGCCAGGTAGAGGACCCTCAGGTGCTCCAGGCCTTTGAAGATGCTGCTGTTGAGTAGATGGATCCGGTTTCCATTGAGCGCCAGTTCCACCAGGTGCTGCTGGGACCTGAAGGCACCGGCCTCCAGGGTGGAGATGCTGTTGTTCTGGATATAGAGGTATTGGAGACCCAGGAGAGGAGATAAATCCTGCTGCTGGATCTGAGATATGGCGTTATCCTGTAAAAACACAGTCTGTGGAGAGGAGAAAAAACTCATCAGTTCATTGACATTCCTCAGATCTTCTCTACTACGTACCTGGGTCAAGGTCTATGGGCGCTTCATATAGGCCTTACAAAAAACACCCTCCTAACAAAGCCATATGATCACCATATGAGTTCTCTAAGGGAATCCTGCACACATTATGAGCCGTCCATTCAGCACACAGCTCCATAAAAACCCAACGGTAACACTAATCTGTTTTGGACAGGGCGGCTATGATTAAGGCCCTTCTGGCTGAAAGGCATTACCCTTACTGTTCTGTTTTCATGGAGGATTTCCTTGGAGAATCACTTTGCAAGGGGTAGACAGGTGCCCTATCCTTGCACCGGATTTTCCCCGACAGCCTTAATGAGACTGATCATTAAGATTGATCATTATGATCGATCACTTACATAGTTACATAGTATTTGAGGTTGAATAAAGACATAAGTCCATCAAGTCCAACCTATTGTGTGTGTGCATTTATGTTTGAGCTGGTGGCACTGGAGGTTACATAGTATTTGATCAATGGCTTTGTTGCTAAACAAAGGCAACCCTAACGCTACCACCTTGTTGATAAACAAAGCTATGTGATCTCCTCACCAGCGCTGAGCTGGCAATAAATGGCTTTACTTATCTCAAAGTCAGGTGGTTGTTGGGTTTGAGGGAAGACTTTCAAGTTCGCTCATCTCTAATAGTTGCCCATCTGGGGCGTGAGTGGGTTTACCATGATTTTGGAGGGAAAATGGGGCTAAACTGGAGGATGCTTGCAGCTATAAGAGGAAATTAGGAGATATATATATATATATACAATATGTAGCTTAAAACTAGGGCGGCACCGATACTAGTATCGGTATTGGTGCCGATACCTAGTATTTGGGCGAGTACTCGTACTCGCCCAAATGTTCCGATACCTAGCCTGACACTGGAACTTCCGAACAGAGGGAGATTTCCTCTGACCAGCAGTGGCGCGAGGGAACATGGAGCCGGGAAGCTGGCTCCATGCTGTTTGGCCAGCTCGATGCTGATTGGCCTCGAAGCCAGCTTCCCAGCCAATCAGTGTCGAGCTGGGCAAACAAATCTGACATTATGGTGACACGACCCTCACCCTGCAGACACCTCATTCCCCTCACATAGATACTCAGCAGCAGTCATTACTGTACCAGTCCCTCGGCCAGCTGGGCAGACACCGCTAACTGGGATCTGCCCACGTCTCCTGCTGAGTATCTATGTGAGGGGAATTAGGTGCCTGCAGGGTGAGGGTCGTGTCACCATATTGTCACATCTGTTTGGCCGGCCTCGATGCCGATTGGCTGGGAAGCTGGCTTCCCGGCCAATCAGCATCGAGCCGGCCAAACAGAATGGAGTCAGTTTCCCGGGCAATCAAGAAGCAGGGCGGTGGGTAATGACACACCGCCTGGCTCTCTGATTGCCCGGGAAGCCGGTTCTATGCCACTGTAAGTACCGGTATAGGTACTCGTTATCGGCGAGTACCGAAATATAAATATCGGTACTCCTACTCAATACGGAAAAACCGGCATCGGTGCATTCCTACTTAAAACTGGGATTTGGACTTTTACCTGTTCGAAACGCGTTAGAGTTTTCACCTCTGCTACAACAAATGTGTCTTTTATGGCTTTTCATCATTATTGATAGTTGGTAAAAAACCCCCACCCCTCCGCCCCTCCTCCCCTGAGTTCCCGAAGCAGCTGGAGGTGCATATCCGGGGAGACATATTGAACAGGTGGTATGTCTGTCCTTGGGAACTCATCTAGAGCACATTATTCATGCATGAAATGTTTGACTTTCCTGCATTACTAATGTGTAATGTTTACCTCCACCTCAATCCTTATTACCGGGGCTACATGTGCTATACATCCTGCACCCAGAGATCCGGCACTACGTGAAGTCACCGATGATCTGCTGTCACCAAAGGACGAAGGCTGGAAGGTCAATGCCGGCTGCAAGCTGCAAGGCAGGAAATATCACTATGGCCTTCATTCGTCAAGCTGAAATGGCACTTAAAGGAGAACTATGAGGTCAGGGCTTTTCCCCATAGTTCTCCTAAGGGTAACGGGAGGACACAAACTAGCGTCCTCCCTTCACCCTAAGCTCAGTATATAGCAAGCTACAGCTCGCGGTATACTGAGACCACCGCAGCCGGGACGGATTCCGACATTACTGTCTGGATCCACCCAGCTGCATGATTGATAGCTGGCTCTGCCTCCGGCCTCGATGCCGATTGGCTGGGAAGCTGGCTTCCCGGCCAATCAGCATCGAGCCGGCCAAACAGAATGGAGTCAGTTTCCCGGGCAATCAAGAAGCAGGGCGGTGGGTAATGACACACCGCCTGGCTCTCTGATTGCCCGGGAAGCCGGTTCTATGCCACTGTAAGTACCGGTATAGGTACTCGTTATCGGCGAGTACCGAAATATAAATATCGGTACTCCTACTCAATACGGAAAAACCGGCATCGGTGCATTCCTACTTAAAACTGGGATTTGGACTTTTACCTGTTCGAAACGCGTTAGAGTTTTCACCTCTGCTACAACAAATGTGTCTTTTATGGCTTTTCATCATTATTGATAGTTGGTAAAAAACCCCCACCCCTCCGCCCCTCCTCCCCTGAGTTCCCGAAGCAGCTGGAGGTGCATATCCGGGGAGACATATTGAACAGGTGGTATGTCTGTCCTTGGGAACTCATCTAGAGCACATTATTCATGCATGAAATGTTTGACTTTCCTGCATTACTAATGTGTAATGTTTACCTCCACCTCAATCCTTATTACCGGGGCTACATGTGCTATACATCCTGCACCCAGAGATCCGGCACTACGTGAAGTCACCGATGATCTGCTGTCACCAAAGGACGAAGGCTGGAAGGTCAATGCCGGCTGCAAGCTGCAAGGCAGGAAATATCACTATGGCCTTCATTCGTCAAGCTGAAATGGCACTTAAAGGAGAACTATGAGGTCAGGGCTTTTCCCCATAGTTCTCCTAAGGGTAACGGGAGGACACAAACTAGCGTCCTCCCTTCACCCTAAGCTCAGTATATAGCAAGCTACAGCTCGCGGTATACTGAGACCACCGCAGCCGGGACGGATTCCGACATTACTGTCTGGATCCACCCAGCTGCATGATTGATAGCTGGCTCTGCCTATCTAGAGGCAGAGCCAGCTGTACCCGCCCCCTCCCCCGTCCGTTCCTCCAGTCAGCGCTGGAGGAGCGGGGAGGGGGGAACCCCTGCAGGGAGCCGTGAGTGACAGTCACAACCCTCTGCAGGGACATGATCGAGAAGTGAGCGAGCAACGGTATGTGTTCGCTCACCTCCCGATCTATTGAGCCGACGTGTGACAGTCTCATTGTCACAGGTCGGCTGGAACTATGAGGATGACTAGAAACCTCTCACCTCATAGTTCTCCTTCAAAGAGTGCTCAGTAGCCCTAATGGCACGCTAAAATGACTTCTGATAATAATGACCGAGAAGCCATCTCTGAGCCAGCATATCCAGGGAGTAGATGGTGACCCTGGATGATGCCTGAACAAAGATGGTGCCGTCCTTCTGAAGAGAAAAGCAGATGGAGGCATTGTCAGGGGGGAGTCCTGTGACCTCTATGAGAGGTATAAATACCTCGAAGTGTCACACGGACACATTACTGAGGTGCTGCGCCCAAACATGAAACATGTGACTGATAACGTGTGCTTTGTTTGATGTGTGAATAGCAGGTGAATCATATGATTCTTTAGGTTAACATTTCTGATTTGTTGGAATAGGTATGGACAGGTTTGCACCACCTGCTGAGATTCCCAAAGTTCCTGAAGTCTTACTGGTTGGAATCATGGATTAAGGGCCCATTCACACCAGCCTGGTGCATTAAACATGTGCGGTGCTATGGCAGCCCCTTCCTTTCAATGGGCTGACCAATGCACCACAATGGGCCGTAAACAGGGCACACCGGGGATGTGCGGGCAGGGGAGGCGGAGCCTCATCAATAGTGTTGCCACCTTTTCTTCAAGCGAAACCCGAACACTCTTGCGACTCGCAGAATGAGTTGTGGCTTATTCATATGTAAATATCACAGTTGAGACTATTTTCAGTGGGGGGCCAGTAGGCCCTATCTTAATTTTGGTTGCCCCTGTCTGCCTGACATCATGTGTTCCTGGTGCCATGAAACCCGGACACAGCATTCAAAACCCGATGAAAAGCAGATGGAGGCATTGTCAGGGGGGAGTCCTGTGACCTCTATGAGAGGTATAAATACCTCGAAGTGTCACACGGACACATTACTGAGGTGCTGCGCCCAAACATGAAACATGTGACTGATAACGTGTGCTTTGTTTGATGTGTGAATAGCAGGTGAATCATATGATTCTTTAGGTTAACATTTCTGATTTGTTGGAATAGGTATGGACAGGTTTGCACCACCTGCTGAGATTCCCAAAGTTCCTGAAGTCTTACTGGTTGGAATCATGGATTAAGGGCCCATTCACACCAGCCTGGTGCATTAAACATGTGCGGTGCTATGGCAGCCCCTTCCTTTCAATGGGCTGACCAATGCACCACAATGGGCCGTAAACAGGGCACACCGGGGATGTGCGGGCAGGGGAGGCGGAGCCTCATCAATAGTGTTGCCACCTTTTCTTCAAGCGAAACCCGAACACTCTTGCGACTCGCAGAATGAGTTGTGGCTTATTCATATGTAAATATCACAGTTGAGACTATTTTCAGTGGGGGGCCAGTAGGCCCTATCTTAATTTTGGTTGCCCCTGTCTGCCTGACATCATGTGTTCCTGGTGCCATGAAACCCGGACACAGCATTCAAAACCCGAACTGTCCGGGTGAATCCTGGACAGGTGGCAACCCTACTCACCAAGTATTATGGAGGAAAAAGCTGTCAGCTTCAAGTCTGAAGCTGACAGCTTTTTCTCCATTCAGAGCGGCTTGTGAGTAGTGATGGGCTTGGGCGTGTTCACAGCTCCACACGCCGAGCCCGCCAGGAAGCTGACAGTGCAAATCACAAGTACTGAGACATTATCCCGGTCCGCAGCTGCAGAGATCGGGATATGTCTCAGTGCCAGTGATTGGCGCTGTCAGCTTCCTGGCAGGCTCGGCACGTGGAGCTGCAAACATGCCTGAGCCCATCACTACTTGTGAGGCGAGAGCTGCAACAGCCTCTACTCTGTTATAGGGTTGAGCTCTATGGATGGTTTGGACCAATAGCAAAGTACCATTGGTCCAAGCTGTCCAATAAAAAAAACAAAAAACACTGAGGACATCGATCTCAATGCTCCTCCCTGTCTCCTCCCTCCCTAGGTACCGCGAGTCACTGGTGCACACTGCACCTACGGCAGCGCAATGCACACTCCAATGGGCGGTCAGGTGGGAGCACCTACCTGGGTGGACGGGTGGATGTTGGCCGGAATGGACTTCAGCCCCTTGGATCCGCACTCCACGGCCATGCTGTAGCAGCGGCACTCTGAGGGGCAGGGCTGGGCGCGGAGGGCCAGGAATGACGGTATGAAAAAGGCAGCGATGATGATGAACGAGTGATCTGATGAGGCCATTTTACTGCGGCTGACGAGAGAAAAAAAAAACATATATAGATACGAAGAGACGTAATAATCTGGGGGGGACATGAGAGTCCATACATGTATTATGAGGCATCACATGTGTAACATACATACATCATATCGTTACCTCTAACTGGTTATATACAGTACATATGAATTGTTGTCATTCAGGATGTATTTTGAGTTATTTTTGTATGTAAACTGTAAAGTAACTTTTTGCTGCAACTTCCACATTTTACTTAGTTGCTGTTCCATATTTCCATTATTGTATAACATATTCAGGTTTGTAAAGTCCAGCTCTAGTAATGAGGGCAACTATACAGCTTTCATGATCAAATGCTGAGATGAAATCCCAGCCACATAGAGACTGCATTGTCCCCTATGAGTCAACCTTCATCATCCCCTATGAGTCAACCCTCATTGTCCCCTATGAGTCAACCCTCATTGTCCCCTATCCAGTGGCGTAACAATAGCCATAGCGGCCCATGCGGCTGCTATGGGGCCCGGGGGTGGAAGGGGGCCCCAATAAGGATTGCAGAAGTTGACATCAGATGTATGGGGGGGGGGGCTATGCAGGCAGCTCTCCTGCTACCTAATATCCCTGACAGTAGGGAGGTTGCTGGGGGACCCATTTAAAATTTTGCTATGGGGCCCCATGATCTGTGGTTACGCCCCTGCCCCATCAGTCAGCCCCCATCTTCCCTTATAAGTCAAACCTCATTGTTCCCTATCAGTCAACCCTCATCATCCCCCATCAGTCAACCCTCATAGTCTTCTATGAGTAAACCCTCATCGTCCCCTATGAGTCATCGTCCTCTACGAGTAAACCCTCATCGTCCCCCCTCAGTCAACCCTCATCATCCCCCATCAGTCAACCCTCATCATCCATCAGTCAACCCTCATCATCCATCAGTCAACCCTCATCATCCCCTATCCGTCAACCCTCATCGTTCCCCATCAGTCAACCCTCATCGTCTTCTATGAGTAAACCCTCATCGTCCCCTATGAGTCATCGTCCTCTACGAGTAAACCCTCATCCTCCCCCTCATCGTCCCCCCTCAGTCAACCCTCATCATCCCCCATCAGTCAACCCTCATCATCCATCAGTCAACCCTCATCGTCCCCCATCAGTCAACCCTCATCGTCCTCTGAGTAAACCCTCATCGTCCCCCATCAGTCAACCCTCATCGTCCCCTATGAGTCAACCCTCCGGATCCCCTATGAATCAACCCTCATCATTACCTATAAGTCAACCCTCATCGCCCCTATGAGTCAACCCTCATCGCCCCTTTGAGTCAACCCTCATCATCCCCTATGAGTCAACCCTCATCATCCCCTATGAGTCAACCCTCATCATCCCCTATGAGTCAACCCTCATCATCCCCTATGAGTCAACCCTCATCATCCCCTATGAGTCAACCCTCATCGTCCCCTATCAGTCAATCTCATTGTCCCCTATGAATCAACCTTCATCATTCCCCATCAGTCAACCCTCATCGTCTTCTATGAGTAAACCCTCATCGTCCCCTATGAGTCATCGTCCTCTACGAGTAAACCCTCATCGTCCCCCTCATCGTCCCCCCTCAGTCAACCCTCATCGTCCCCCATCAGTCAACCCTCATCATCCCCCATCAGTCAACCCTCATCGTCCCCCATCAGTCAACCCTCATCGTCCTCTGAGTAAACCCTCATCGTCCCCCATCAGTCAACCCTCATCGTCCTATGAGTAAACCCTCATCGTCCCCCATCAGTCAACCCTCATCATCCCCCATCAGTCAACCCTCATCGTCCCCCATCAGTCAACCCTCATCGTCCTCTGAGTAAACCCTCATCGTCCCCCATCAGTCAACCCTCATCGTCCCCTATGAGTCAACCCTCCGGATCCCCTATGAATCAACCCTCATCATTACCTATAAGTCAACCCTCATCGCCCCTATGAGTCAACCCTCATCGCCCCTTTGAGTCAACCCTCATCATCCCCTATGAGTCAACCCTCATCATCCCCTATGAGTCAACCCTCATCATCCCCTATGAGTCAACCCTCATCATCCCCTATGAGTCAACCCTCATCATCCCCTATGAGTCAACCCTCATCATCCCCTATGAGTCAACCCTCATCATCCCCTATGAGTCAACCCTCATCGTCCCCTATCAGTCAATCTCATTGTCCCCTATGAATCAACCTTCATCATTCCCCATCAGTCAACCCTCATCGTCTTCTATGAGTAAACCCTCATCGTCCCCTATGAGTCATCGTCCTCTACGAGTAAACCCTCATCGTCCCCCTCATCGTCCCCCCTCAGTCACCCCTCATCATCCCCCATCAGTCAACCCTCATCATCCCCCATCAGTCAACCCTCATCGTCCTCTATGAGTAAACCCTCATCGTCCCCCATCAGTCAACCCTCATCGTCCCCCATCAGTCAACCCTCATCGTCCCCCATCAGTCAACCCTCATCGTCCCCCATCAGTCAACCCTCATCGTCCCCCATCAGTCAACCCTCATCGTCCCCCATCAGTCAACCCTCATCGTCCCCCATCAGTCAACCCTCATCGTCCCCCATCAGTCAACCCTCATCGTCCCCCATCAGTCAACCCTCATCGTCCCCCATCAGTCAACCCTCATCGTCCCCCATCAGTCAACCCTCATCGTCCCCCATCAGTCAACCCTCATCGTCCCCCATCAGTCAACCCTCATCGTCCCCCATCAGTCAACCCTCATCGTCCCCCATCAGTCAACCCTCATCGTCCTCTATGAGTAAACCCTCATCGTCCCCTATGAGTCAACCCTCATCGCCCCCTATTAGTCAACCCTCATCATCCCCGATCAGTCAACCCTAATCATCCCCTATCAGTCAACCCTCATCATCCCCATCAGTCAACCCTCATCGTCCCTTATAAGTCATCCCTCAATGTTTACACAGCAACTCCCGGCTGTCATTTTGACAGCTACAGTAACAATTGGCACCAAGTGCGAAAGGAAGTGGAGATAAGCAAAGAGGCAGAAGGGCAGGACATACCGCACACCGTCCCTGTGAATTTCCATTAAGTTTTTTTTTAGGCATGTTTAGCACACCCTGTGTGCCCACAACTAGTCAAGGATGAAATTGGCATTAAATAGCTCCTTTCACAGAGAAAATAAAAACTGTCAAAGTGACATTACACAAATAACGATCAAATACAGAAAAAGGAAAAAAAAAGCAGATATATAAAACAAACACTAAATGAAATAAATTAAAGGAGAACTATGAGGGGGGGGGGGGGGGGTGCTTTTCACTCACCTCATAGTTCTAGCCGACCTGTGACAATGAGACTGTCACAGGTCGGCTCAGTAGATCGGGAAGTGAGGGAACACATACCGGCGTTCGCTCACCTCTCGATCCTGTCACGGCTCTCTGCCGTGACAGAAGAGGAGCTGGATTCCCCCCTCCCCGCTCCGATAGCGCTGACTGGCGGAACGGACGGGGGAGGGTACAGCTGGCTCTGCCTCTAGATAGGCAGAGCCAGCTGTCACTCACGCAGCTGGGCGGATCCAGACATAATTGTCGGCTGCGGCGTCTTAGTATGCCGCGAGCTGTAGCTCCCTATATACTGAGCTTAGGGTGACGGGAGGACGCTAGTTTGTGGCTTCTTGAATGCGGGTGGCCGTTTTTAAACGTCCCATCCCGCCCCGCTAGTGCGGGATGGGACGTTGGCTGTTTACATACAAGCGTTCGGGCGTCCCGATCGCTTGTAATATCCGGTAGGGTGTGCGCCCCCCCTTCCGTTGCAGCCGCTGCTGGCGATCCCGAGCTCCGCTGTGCCTGGTGCAAACCCGGGACAAGCACAGCAGCTCTGCGGCCCGGAGATCAAATGGAGCTCAGTACACCACCTCCGTTTAATCTCCTCCTCCTCTTCGGAATGCAGGAAGTGATGTGTATTACATCACTTCCTGCATTCAGTGTCACTCTCCCGTACAGAAACCGGAGAGAAGCTGGTGAAGCAGGTGTTTGCTTCATCAGCTTCTCTGGGGGTCCCTAGGTGACATTAGGGGTCTGAAAGACCCCTGATGTCTCCATAAAGAGGACCTGTCACTGAAAATTGGCTATCACAAAGGGGACTTGTTAGTCCCCTATGTGATAGCAATACAATTCAGTGAAAAAAAAAAATGTTTAAAAGAATTAGTTACAAAAAAATTAAAAGTCACATATAAAAGGTAATAAAAAAAATGCGACATTTTTTTTAAGTCCCCGCCCCCCACATACACATGCAAACAAGCGTTGAGTGCGCCTAAGTGCGTAAATGACGATTGCATCCATAACGCCGCACATGTTAAATATCGCCGCGAACGTCGCAGTGAGAGCAATAATTCTCTGCCCATCAATCACTGATAACACTAAACTGATGAGCTGTAAAAGCTTTTAAAGCGTCGCCTATGGCCAATTTTGTGTATGGTAGTTTTGCGAGTTCGTGGACGCACGCAATTTTAAAGCTTGACATGTTTGGTGTCTATTTACCCGATGTGACCCCGACTTTTATATTTTGCCAAAATGTGGGTAATAATAACTGTATAAAATGTATTTCAGCACAGCGTTGCATGACGGAATAAATGTCAGTCAAAGTAGCGCAGCGCTGAATACTGAAAAATGGCCGGGACAGGAAGGGGGTGTAACACCACGGTCAGCAAGGGGTTAAAGTAACAGATTTAAAAAAAAAATGTTTGCAATTTTTTTTTTTTAAGTCCCACGCCACGTGCACGCACATTCAACGCAAACACGCGTCGGATGCGCCTACATGCAAAATATTGCGCCACACATGTTACATATCGCTGTGAACATTGGAGGGGGAGCAATAATTCTCGGCCCATCAATCACGAAACTGATAAGCGGGAAAAGCGTTTAAAGCGTCGCCTATGGGAAACTTTGGTTATTGTAGTTTTTTTGCTGTTTCACGGACGGGCGCAATTTTAAGCCTTGACATGTTTGGCATCTCTTTACCCGGCGTGACCCCGTCTTTTATATTTTA